TGTGTGTGTGTGTGTGTGTGTGTGTGTGTGTGTGTGTGTGTGTGTGTGTGTGTGCGTGTGCGTGTGCGCGCGCGCGTGTGTGTGTGTGTGTGTGTGTGTGTGTGTGTGTGTGTGTGTGCGTTTCTGGGTGTGTGCGAGTGTGTGTGTGTGTGCTCGAGTGTGTGTGTATCTGTGTGTGCCTGTGTCTATGTGTCGACGTGCGCGCGTTGGCCGACATCCTCCCGCATGGAGTGGTTCATGCCCCCAAACCTTCAAATGTGTGTGCGTGTGCAAAGTTACCGCGGCAGATCCGCGCCCCAGCGTTCGGCTTCGGGAAGCAAGGGTGGCTCAGCACGCGGTGGCGATGTGACGCCTGAGGTCGCAGGATGAGCTTGGGCAGATATGCAGTGCGCAAGCACTGCAGGGCATGCCAGGGAGGTGCAGCCACTGAAGTTCGGGCCCCCCCGGCCTCGACGACCTCCTCCTTCTCCTGGTGTTAAGTTGGGCATGTCTACCCGAAATGCAGGAGACATTTGGAGGTTGCCGCGCTGTACCACAGGAGTTGGTGACGAGTTACGATTCGCACGCGCGCTCTGCCAGCTTCCGTGGACCTTGTGCTCGGGATGAGCTCAGTGGCGCTGGTGGAAGATAACTTTAAAGCTCGTTTGGCATTCACCGTCTTGCTGGGCTTCGTAGGCAGGTTGCGAGCAGGAGAACTCGTCGCGCTCACGGTGAGGCAGCTTTCACTTCACGGTGGAGGTTCGCTTTTGGGCGTGTCGTTGCCCGACTGTGAGAGTGCGAAGAGGAAGGGGGCCAGCGAGCAAGCCACTGTCTACGACCCTCTTGTTCTTCAGCTCGCAGCTGCAGTACTTCGGATTATCACGCCAAGCGAGTTTGTGTACCAGGGTAGTTGGAAGCATTTTGCAGACGACATCAAGAGGCTGGAGAACGCATTTGGTATCACCAGCCCGCGATTCACACCTTGCTGCTTGCACTGGTGAGGCGCCACGTGGCACTTCACGAAGTATTGTTCTTACGATGCTGCAACACATCTGGGCCGGTGGGAGCAGACCAAAACAGCGCGCGTCTACATCGATCACGCCACAGCTGAGGTCGGCCAGTTGTGCTTGCCAGGTTGGGGTAGTGACCGCCTCAAGGTAGCAAAGCGCGATGTCTCGGAGCTGGTGCGGCTACGCACTGAATAAATATCCAGTGCCCACCCTCCCGCCACTCTCTGCCTGCCACTCTCTGCTTGGGGGCCGCGGGCTGCTGCCAGTGCTCGTCGAGGAGGCGTCAGTGGCAGGGTGGAGTGGGCGTGCAGTGCGGCAACAGTGTCGCTGCACTTGGGGTCTGCAGTGCGGGGGCACCGGCCTGAGCACTCCCGAGTGCGTGGAAGCCGTCACGGAAGCGACTTGTTCTCTCCGGATTGGCTCAGACCCTCTTGAGGGACCCATCCGGGTTCGGGCCAAGGGCCCGCGGCGAGGCATGTAGGGACACGTTCTTTGCCTGTCCACTCTCCTGAGGGCGGACATTTCCGTCCAGCAGCTCTGAGCTCTGAGGAGGGCCGGTGCATGGCTGTGTTGCGCCATAGGCGTCTCGCACCGAACTGAGACGCACCCGCGAGCAGTGCGAGGCAAAGTACATCGATCGCGTCGGCCTGTCTGCTGCTGGTGCGTCTTCAGCTCTTTTGCAGGGCCTGCGCTCTCGTGCACCGCGAAGGTGCGCGAGGCTGTCGCCTCCGACCTGAGGTGCCAGACACCGCCTAATAAGGCGGGCGTGATCGCTTGCTGCTTGAGGCTCCTCCTCCTCCTCCTCCCTCTTCCATTTCTCCTCTCCCTCCCCCTCCTTCTCCTCCGTCTACTTCTCCTCCTCATCCCTGCCCTCTTTTCCCAACCGCATGATCATCCCTCAACTGCTGCTCCTCCCCCCCACCTTCCTTTCTATTCCGTTTCTCCTCCTCTCACCCCTTCTCCTTCTCTTCTCGTGCTATTTCTTCCCTTTCTCCTCCTCCGCCGCCGCCTCCTCCCCCTTGTCCTCCTCCTCTTCCTCCCCCTCCTCGTCCTCCTCCTCGTCCTCCATTTCCTTCTCATTCTCCCCCTTGCCCCCATCCTCCTCATGCTTCTTTTCCCCCTTCTGCCCTTGCGACGAGGTACGACATCAAACGCCGGAAGGGCATGCCAGAGCAGACCCTGCACAGGCGCCGTGGCGGGTGCGGCGCGGGATGAGGAGGGAAGGAGGAGGGGCAGGAGGATAGGATAAGGAGAACTGGAGGAGACCAAGACGGAGAGGGACGGTGATGATTGTTTTGCTTGTGGATTGTGGTAATGATGTTGCTGATGATGTTGGTGATGGTGATGAGAATGATGATGACGATGATGACCACGAACCTTGAGATGATGATGATGATGTTGATGATGATGATGATGATGCTGATGCTGATGATGATGATGATGATGATGATGATGGGGGCGAGGCTGCTGCTGCTGATGATGCTGAAGATGAAAATGAAGATGAAGATGATAATGATGGTTATGACGATGCTGCGCGCGATGAAGATGATGAAGACGACGCTGACGATGCTGCTGCTGATGATGAAGATGATGCTGATGATGCTTATTATGCTGCTGGTGATGATGACGATGAAGATGATGACGACGATGATGATGGTGATAATGCTGCTGCTGATGATGCGGGTGATGATGATGGTGGTGGCGGAGGTGGTGATGGCGATGGTGGTGGCGATGGTGATAATGATGGTGTTAATGCTGCTGCTGCTGAGACTTTTGCTACTGAAGACGTCGAAGATGATAATGATGATGCTGATGTTGATGCTGCTGCTGATGATGATGCTGCTGATGATGATGATGTTGATGCTGATGCTGCTGATGGTGATGAGGATGAGGATGAGGATGCTGATGATGCTGATGACGATGAGGATGATGATGCTGATGACGCTGATGATGATGATGACGACGACGACGACGACGATGATGATGATGATGATGATGATGATGATGATGATGATGATGATGATGATGATGATGATGATGATGATGATGATGATGATGATCAGGTGCATGAGGAGAAGTAGGAGGAGGAGGAGGAAGAGGAGGGGGATGAGGAGGAGGAAAAGAAGGAGGAGGAGAAGAAGGACCAGCAGCAAAACAACAAACAGATGAATAGAAGCATGAAAGAGAGCAGGAGGAGCGAGAGGAGGAGGGGGAGGCAGAGGTGGGAGAGGGGAATCGAGAGGATGAGGAGGAAGGGGCGAAGGAGAAGGAGCTGAGGATGAGGACGAGGAAGCGAAGGGAGGAGACGGGCGCAATGCCCGGGCCTCGATTCTGGAGCCTCGATCCTCGGCCCTCGATCGTGGGCCCTCCCCAGCCTCGAGCCCCCGGCCCTTGCCAGAGCCGGGGGGGAACGCGGCGGATCTCCCTCGGAGGCCTCGGGAGGCTCAAGGGAGGGCCAAGAGCGTCCAGAGACCACGATCCCCGATCGGGGACCCCCCCCTCTGCTGGGAGGACACGTCTCCCCCCTCGACCGTCGGTTCTCGATGGCTCAAAACACACGCCGCCCCCCCTCGCGAACACCCGGATCCTGGATCCGAGTCGCGGGGACAATCGCGACGGGAGATGCTCTGCTACTCTCGCCCTCCTGGTGCTCTCGCCGGGCCCCCGATGGCCGTCAAGGGACGGCTCGGGACAAGAGTCCACGTTGTGGAACAGTGACGCCGTCCACGGCCGGTCTGGAGGCCGGGGTTCTCAATCTTTGGTCCGTGTACCTCTGTCCTCGACCTTCTGTCCACGAACCTCGGCCCTCGATCCCCAGGCCCCGATCCTCGGCGCCAGAACATCGGTCCTCGATCCTCGAGCCTCGATGCTCGTGCCTCGGTCCTCGGCCCCCCGGCCTCCTTCCTCTCCTCGAGCCCAGGCCGCCCGCACACCGGGCCAGAGCAGCTGGGTCGGAGGCTCGGGCGCCGCATCGCCGATGCATCGGCCATGCAGCTCGACCCAGAGCCTGATCTTCCTTATCCCGACGGCGAGCGAGGGGGGGAAACGAGAAGGAGAAGGCCTTCTCACAAGGAGGCCGGACCAGAAGCCCTCGCGCCGCATGAGAAGTTCTTGTTGCTGTCTTCGGGGGAGGCTCAGAAAACTTCTCGAGGGACTTCCGAACCTTTTGAGGAGGCCTTCTCCTTCTCGCTTCCCCCCCAGGCGCGCCGCTGATTATCTCTAGGCCTCCTAGATGGGGTCGGAGGATCGCGCCGCATCGCCGATGCATCGGCGATGCATCGGCTATGCATCGGCGATGCCTCGGCGATGCATCGTCGATGCGGCTCGATGTGGGGCCCAATTTTCTCCACGCCGACGTCGCCGATGCGTCGCCGACGTCGCCGATGCATCGCCGGTGCATCGCCGGTGCATCGCCGATACATCGGCGATGTGGCGCTATCCTCCGACCCCATCTACTCCGACCCCATCTGGGAGGCCTCCCCACTACAGGAGGAATTTCCAGAAATAGTCAAGACGAGTAGTCTGGGGACGATTTTTGTTACCTGGTTGTTAATTATTTTTTGGATATTTCTGGGCTGTCTTCTAACTTTCGTCCACAATCCCCCTGTAGGAGGACCCGCCCGACCTATCCCTGGGGCCCGAACACGGCCCCGAGAGGCTGGAGCGAGGGAAGAAGGCAAGTGATGGGCGCACTTTCCACCACCGCCATCACAGGTAGGACGGGGGATGAGAGGATGGGGAGGTCCCCCTCCTCCTCCCCCTCCTCCTCTTCCTCCTTCTCCTCTTCCTCCTCCTCCTCCTCCTCCTCCTCCTCCTCCTCCTCCTCCTCCCTATGGTAGTGGTGGCGGAAAATCGGCCCATCAGCAGGGTCCGAGCAGGGAACATATTCGCCTTGAAGTCGGGGGTCGGGGAGAGCGGCGCGCGGAAGGTATTGCAATCTCAGCGTGCACTTCGGCAGCCTCCACTCCGGCAGGAGCGGCACGAAGGCCCGGGCGCCTCCGCAGCGGGGCTCGTGCTGTCTCCGGCGGACACCGCGCCATAGATCACGGCGGCTGTGACTCCAGGCTTCCCAGGCTCAAAGAAGAATTACCCTGTGACGTACCCAACCCATTTGTATCATGGGAAACGAGGAGTTGACCGAAACTTGCATGGACAATCAAATTGCAGGATCCGTTGTTTGATATGTAAGCTACTTGGGACACGCGCCTATGGCATGATGCGCAGGAGAACCATGCAAGAGAGGGGAAACAGCTACAGGCTCGAAGAGGACATGGGGAGACGGGAGCGAAGAGCAGGAGAAAGACGTGCGGGAAGCCCACTGTGCTGGGCCCCTCAGCAGCCCTCGAAAGTGGCGACAGTTTCACAGATCGCAGCCCCCCCGGGATGGCGAGGTCCCATTTGAGTCTGCGGTGAGTACCCACTGTGCTGGGCCCCTCAGCAGCTCTCGAAAGCGGCGACAGTTTCACAGATCGCAGCCCCCAGGGATGGCGAGGTCCCATTTGAGTCTGCGGTGAGTACCCACTGTGTTGGGCCCCTCAGCAGCCCTCGAAAGTGGCGACAGTTTCACAGATCGCAGCCCCCCAGGGATGGCGAGGTACCATTTGAATCTGCGGTGAGTACCCACTGTGCTGGGCCCCTCAGCAGCCCTCGAAAGTGGCGACAGTTTCACAGATCGCAGCCCCCAGCAGCCTTTGAATCCGCCGTGAGTACCCACTGTGCTGGCCCCCCCCAGCAAGCCTCGAAAGTGGCTGCAGTTTCACAGATCGCAGCCCCCCAGGGATGGTGAGGTCTATTTGAATCAACCGTGAGTACCCACTGTGCTGGGCCCCCCAGCAGCCCTCGAAAGTGGCGACAGTTTCACAGATCGCAGCTCCCCAGGGATGGCGAGGTCCCATTTGAATCCGCCATGGGTACCCACTGTGCTGGGCCCCCCAGCAGCCCTCGAAAGTGGCGACAGTTTCACAGATCGCAGCCCCCCAGGGATGGCGAGGTCCCATTTGAGTCTTCCCACTGTGCTGGGCCCCCCAGCAGCCTCGAAAGTGGCGACAGTTTCACAGATCGCAGCCCCCCAGGGATGGCGAGGTCCATTTGAATCCGCCGTGGTACCCACTGTGCTGGGCCCCCCAGCAGCCCTCGAAAGTGGCGACAGTTTCACAGATCGCAGCCCCCCAGGGATGGCGAGGTCCCATTTGAATCCGCCGTGACCCACTGTGCTGGGCCCCCCAGCAGCCTCGAAAGTGGCGACAGTTTCACAGATCGCAGCCCCCCAGGGATGGCGAGGTCCTATTTGAATCCGCCGTGGTACCCACTGTGCTGGGCCCCCCAGCAGCCCTCGAAAGTGGCGACAGTTTCACAGATCGCAGCCCCCCAGGGATGGCGAGGTCTAATTTGAATCCGCCGTGGCCCACTGTGCTGGGCCCCCCAGCAGCCCTCGAAAGTGGCGACAGTTTCACAGATCGCAGCCCCCCAGGGATGGCGAGGTCTAATCTGAGTCCCCGTAGGGTCACCGCTGGGCCCCCCAGCAGGCCTTCGGCGACAGTTTCACAGATCGCAGCCCCCCAGGGATGGCGAGGTCTAATCTGATCCCCGATTGGCGTCACTCCGCTGGGCCCCCCAGCAGCCTCGACGAGGCTGGCGAGGTCTACCCCGTTCACTCCGCTGGGCCCCCCAGCAGCCCTCGAAAGTGGCGACAGTTTCACAGATCGCAGCCCCCCAGGGATGGCGAGGTCTAATCTGAATCCCCGTAGGGCGTCACTCCGCTGGGCCCCCCAGCAGCCCTCGAAAGTGGCGACAGTTTCACAGATCGCAGCCCCCCAGGGATGGCGAGGTCTAATCTGAATCCCCGTAGGGCGTCACTCCGCTGGGCCCCCCAGCAGCCTCGAAAGTGGCGACAGTTTCACAGATCGCAGCCCCCCAGGGATGGCGAGGTCTAATCTGAATCCCCGTAGGGCGTCACTCCGCTGGGCCCCCCAGCAGCCCTCGAAAGTGGCGACAGTTTCACAGATCGCAGCCCCCCAGGGATGGCGAGGTCTAATCTGAATCCCCGTAGGGCGTCACTCCGCTGGGCCCCCCAGCAGCCTCGAAAGTGGCGACAGTTTCACAGATCGCAGCCCCCCAGGGATGGCGAGGTCTAATCTGAATCACACTCCGCTGGGCCCCCCAGCAGGCCTCGAAAGTGGCGACAGTTTCACAGATCGCAGCCCCCCAGGGATGGCGAGGTCTAATCTGAATCCCCGTAGGACGTCACTCCGCTGGGCCCCCCAGCAGGCCTCGAAAGTGGCGACAGTTTCACAGATCGCAGCCCCCCAGGGATGGCGAGGTCTAATCTGAATCCCCGTAGGACGTCACTCCGCTGGGCCCCCCAGCAGGCCTCGAAAGTGGCGACAGTTTCACAGATCGCAGCCCCCCGGGATGGCGAGGTTTAATCTGAATCCCCGTAGGACGTCACTCCGCTGGGCCCCCCAGCGGCCTCGAAAGTGGCGACAGTTTCACAGATCGCAGCCCCCCAGGGATGGCGAGGTCTAATCTGAATCCCCGTAGGACGTCACCCCGCTGGGCCCCCCAGCAGCCCTCGAAAGTGACGACAGTTTCACAGATCGCAGCCACCCAGGGATGGCGACCGCAGGCGGGAGGAGGCGGGAAGGAAGGAAGGAAGGAAGGAAGGAAGGAAGGAAGGAAAGAAGGAAGGAAGGTGGAGACCGCAGTGCTCTGTTCAAAACGAGTACCCAACACAGGAGGGTTGGGGAAAAACACATACACAAACTTTTGGCGCTCCGCGCGGATTTCTTGGATCAGCGCCTGGCCCCCCCCGGCGGCGCCTCCAGCGCCGCCCCTGGCGCGCTCAGCGCGCCAGGGAGGGGAGTCCAGCGCGAATCCAAGAAATTCGCGCGGAGCGCCAAAAGTTTATGTCTATGTGTTTTTGTTCTTCTTTTGCAGGTGGTTTGTTGGTACTTCCACACGGTCCATTGCAACGGTGTGTGGGAAACATTTAGTGGACACTCCCCCGCCCCCCCAAGCTCAAAGTTGGCACGCTCGGGGAAGGCTGCGGCCGAAGTGCAACTCATCAGGCCCACCGCCAACTGGGAACATTGGGGGGAAGGGGGAAGCGTTGACCGATGAATGTGGCATGCGTGTTCGCTGTTTTTTCCAGGGCCTGAAGTTCTATGCGTGTATCTGTTGCCGCGCTGTTTGTTTCGACGCGGCCCTGCGTTTTGGGGAGGGCGCCGCGGTTACCAGGGCAAACTCCGCCTCGTGCGCGGCGGGTTTGCCGCGGGTATGTATTGGTGCTGGCTTCGTCTTCTTGGGTCGCGGGGCGCAGAGTTTGCCGTGGGTTTGCCGTGGCATTGGCGTCGTCCACTTGGGCGCGTCGGGAACAAACGGCGCGACGACATATAGTATATACATGTGTACCAGAATGTGCCAAGGTCAAGCTTGTATGCATGCGGAGGTCGAATGAAGAAGCAGGAGAAGAAACGACATACCAGTAAACCTTGCGAGCGCGCGGATTTTTCGGATGGGCGCTGGCCCCCCCTTGCACTGGCGCCGCCCCTGGCTCGCGGAACGCGCCATAGAGAGGCTTCCAGCGCGGATCCAAGAAATCCGCGCGGACCTCCGAAAGCTTACATGATCATTCGATGTTTATTGTTCCAGAAGGGGCGGCCGCTTAGAGCACAGGCGGATGAAGACTAGGAGTGGCCTTCCGCCCATCCCTCCACCGTGCCTGGGCTGTGGGCCTGAGGCCTCTGGGATGGTCGTTGGGATTTCGTCGAGGCCTCTCGGGGGCCTCCTGGAGGCAGTTTGAGGCCTCTTGGGGGCTGTGTTGGGACATGCTCGGATTTTCGGTTCGTGCTCCCCCTCCTTGGCCCCTCGTTGGGCCCTCTTGGGCCGTCATGGGCACCTCTTGGGCCGTCTTGGTGCCCTCTTGGGCCGTCTTGGGGCCCTCTTGTGGGCCTCTGGGGCCGTCGTGTTGCAATCTTGGGGTCCTCTTGGGACGTCTTGGAGCGTCGGAACTAATAACCCAGACAACATTGAACAACTTATGGAACATCAATGACGTTGGCCTTTGGGGGCCCTCTTGGGATGGCTCTTTGGTCTCTCTTGGGGTGTCTCGAAGGGTTCTTGGGCCGTCTTGGGGCCGTCTTGGGCGTCTTGGACCGATCGTTCGGCGTATCGGGGCCCTCCTGGACCGTCTTGGGGGCCTCGTGGAACCCTCTTGGCCCGTCCTGAGGCCTTCTTGGGTGCCAAAGTGATTGGGAGAATCGATACGGGGATTGCCTGGCATGCTGTTATTCGGTATTGAAGATGACCAGTCGTGCAGAATAAATAGTGAACGGGATAATTTGCGGCGGTGTCCCGGGTGGAGGGGCAACGGGGGGAAAGCCTAGGGCATTCTAGGAAGAGGAATACATATAGGCAGTGTGCAGACATGTGGTTTGCATTAAGAGTGCTGCAGTCCATGTGGTGCAAAGAATTCGGTGGCATACATTTTGAAGAACTTGAAGTCGAGCAAATATCCCACCCGCCTGCCCGCAACTGGCTGGCAATGTTCAAGAGGCTGCGAGTGCACTTGCACATCGGCACTTGTTGCTCAGCCGGGCAGGAGCAATGACGCGGGGATCGTTCTCACGGACACTAATCCATGACTCGGGCCAGCGAGTTCTGATGAGGGTCTGAAAGAACGTTTGCTGAAACACATGTAGCGTTTTACATGTTTGTGCTCGTTTTCTTATTCATTGTTTTGCCGATCGGCGCGGGCCCTCGTATTCCCCCCATGGAGTAGATGTGGGCTATATTTGGCGCCTGTCTCAGGCAGATGGAGCCCCTCCTCCATAGGACGCACAGCTGCAAGCAGTCGCGCTACGCAGAGGTCCAGAGTCAGACCCCCCTCTCCCCCCCTTTCCCCCTTCCGCCAAATTTCGAAATGCCAGATAAGACAAGGTTCACTGCACATGTTTTGAGAGGACTGCCAGCCTTTGCACACGAGTGCGACTTGTGCGCGCGCGCGGGGGCGGGCTCGTGTGGCCCGCACGGCTGACTCCTGGGATGGCAGGGCATCGATGGCCTCCGCGTGGGTTCGGCAGGAGCGCGCGCAGGAACTTTGACGCCTTTCCTGGGGCGAGCCACTGGTTCGGCAGATGTGCACTGTGAATGCCTCGCGGCCGGCGCCGCCGACCCAGCAGGACGACGACGATGGTGACGACCACGACGGCGACCACGACGACACCCACAACGACGAGTTGACGACCCTGGATCGGGACATGGGGCGGGTGGTGGAGGGAGGAGGAGGAAGACTAGTAGGAGGAGGAGGAAGAGGAGGAGGAGGAGGAGGAAGGAAGAGGAGGAGGGGGAGGGAGAGGAAGAGATGATGGAGGAGGCGGAGGAGGAGGAAGAGGATATTCGCAGAGCGCCTTCACATGCTCAGAAGACCTGTGGCTTTGTAGCGATCTTGACACGCGCGCGCCCGGGAGGGGGACGTGCGCATGCGGGCCGCATGGCGCTACCTGAGAAGGAGCACTACGCAACGCGTTTATTATATCAACGCGTGCGCACCGCTTGTACTATTCAAGGGAACAAGCAATGACATAAACATAAACTCGGAGGTCCGCGCGGATTTCGCGGATCGGCGCTAGACCCCGCTCCCTGGCGGCGCCTCCGGCGCCTCCCCTGGTGCGCTCCGCGCGCCAGGGAGGGGGTCCAGCGCCGATCCGTGAAGTCCGCGCGGACCTCCGAGTCTTTATGTTTATGTCGTGGTGGGGTGATTTGTCAGAGGAGAAAAAGGTACCGCTGCCGCTACCGTTCACCCGTTTTCCCCCCTTTTTCGGCCTCCTGGGAGGCCCCCCCGTCGCCACCGCTAGATTCGTCTCGAAGTGCTTGTCAGAACGCACCCCGGCAGAGGTTTGGGGAGTAGCGGTATCTGTACTTCTGGTTTCCCCAATTTTGGGGGGTCGTCGCTGCGGGCTCGGCTCGAGCGGGATGAGGTCACATGCGGGAAGAGCGTCCGGTGCGAGTCACTTGTGGGAGGCCGACGCGCCGACGTGGGCCGGGGAGTCTCGCGTCGACCTGGGGGCAAAAGCCGAGTCTTCTTTCGGAGAAGCAGTCTGGCGTGCGCAGCTGGAAATGCCAGCCAGCGCACAGGGCGCCCACGAGGCGACCACGGGCGTCCGCTGTGCGAGAGCCTGGAAACGCTGGCCACTCATGCAGGATGCCAGTGCGGCACAGCTCAGGGAACATCGAAGCTGAAGCTCAGGGAACATAAACAAGATCGAAGCATCAGCCCGGAGTCTTTCGTGGTGTTCGGCCCCTCGGGCTGGCCGTCCGGAGACAGGAGGCGGTCCAGGACACAATCAACCCGCACAGTGGGGATGGGCAACCTTCCCAAGGGTACCCTCGCATCCTTGCCGCCTCCGCGGCCCACCCTTGGCCACCCTCGTCGGCCGCGCCGCCCCGCTCGAGAGGCCTCGTGATGAGCGCCCAGGGCCCTTGCACCCTCCGCGCGCATCCTCGTGATGCGGGCTGGCTGCAGAAGACCGGGCCCGGGGCAGTGGCCGGGGGCGCCCGTGCTGGAGCAGGGAGAGCGGCGCATCGGGCGCCCGGGCCCTTCCAGGTCTCGGCCTTCGGGGGCCCTCCTCCTCGCCCCAGCACTGACAAACACGGACGACCAGCGGCGCGAAGTACCCACAGAAAACAAAACATGTAACAATGAAAGTAGATGTAGCATAACAAACCAACGAATTGGGTCAAGTGCTTCTGTGCTCCGCAGATTGAGCGAGGACGTGCGCAGGGGGCCGGGGAACCAATTCCTCGAAGCGTGGGGGGTCGAGGATCAAGCAGCCTCGGTGTGTTTGAACCGCCTTGGTCATCTTCAGGCCCTCTTCCGGCCTCCGGAGACCTCTCGGGGCCTCCAGAGATCTCCCGCGCGTCACCGCGCCCTCGGCTTCGAACGCGTCCCAGCTCTGCTCCGCTGCCGCGAAGCCGTCCGCGACGGAATCGGCGTCCCGATGCGCATTGCTTTTCCATTACGATGATGCCGCGTGGCCCGCCTCCGTGGAGGGCACACGGGAGCAAGTGCTCAGATCCGCGGAGTGCAACCTCCTGTCCCCGTGCGCTGCCATCGTCGTCATCGACAGTGTACTCATCGGTCGTTGAGGGTGGGTGTTTTTGGATTCCCAGATCTCAGTCTACTTTGACGCATTTCTACTTCAAGGATCGACTGGTTTCCGTCTTCCCTCCTCTTCAGGGGGCGGGCGGAAGCCCAATCTACTTCCAATGCCTTCCTACTTCATGTTTCTACCCACTTCTTACTTCTTCCGACCGGCGTGTATGGCAGTAACAAGTGCGAGCATGCAACGGCGAGGGTCGGCTGTAGTCGTTCCATGGATCGTTGGACGGTTTCCATTCTACACCGAGGGTTGCACCCTCCGTCCCCTCCGTCTCGTCCTCTTCTATCCCGCTCCGCCTCAGACAGAAGCCGTATGAGCGTACATAAGACTTCGCCATCGTCATCAGCCTCATCATCGCCATTGCCATCGTCAGCAACAGCAGTATCGTCCTTCATCTCATGTGTGGCTCGAGGTCACCATTGCTAGAGCGGGAGCCGATCCATTTTGGCCAGGCGCACGGCCTTCAGGGCACCCAAACCTTTGATCAGATGCTCCGCTGCGCAGCCAGAATTCAAGCAGCGGCCCTCCTGTTGGGAGGGGCATCGGCACAGGACCTTTTCATTGCAGGCCAGCCCGGAACGAAGCCTGGCAAGGAGTACGTCAAGGACGCGCGGGGCTTCACGATGCGGAGGTGCAGCAGAGGAGGATGTGTAGGAGATAAGAGAGATGGCGGGGCGAGGATGAGGAGGAAGAGGAGGATGAGGAGGAAGAGGAAGAGGAGGAGGAGTCAGATGGAGGTGCAAGAGGAGCAGGAGGAGAGGGAACAAGAGCAGGAGCATCAGGCGGACCCGACGCTCCCCAGGTACACCGCAAGCAGCGACCTGCTGGATGACCTTCCTGCCGACCGGAGGCTGCACTGGATCTTCAACCGCTCCTTCGCGGTGGACACCACAGACTTCCCCGAGCTCTGCGACGCGAGCATCGTGGAAGACACGTGCAAGCTCTTCAACGGGGACCCGGAGGAGCTGGCGAACGCGGACCGCATCGTCCCGTCAGACGTGCAGGGCGTGCTCTCGGCCACCGTGGAAGGCATCGCCGACCTCTGGGAAGCCGTCGGCCTGCCCATCCCGGCGAAGTGTATGGACTTGTGCCACGCGGTGGTGAGCTGGCTCGAGCAGCACGCCCACGTCGTGCCTCCGAAGAGCGACCTCGGGTGCTCCCAGAACGAGAAAACTGGGAAGCACGATTGCGACATCGACCTGTCCCCCCCTTCTGTCCACGACTCTGGGGGTTCGTCGGAGGAGGAGCTCCCGATATTCGACCACGACGAGCTGGACGAGAACAACCAGGACATTCCCCCCGAGAGGCTGGACGACGACGAGGAAGACGAGGGCGAGGCAGATGGGGAGGATGGTGTCGAGTACGCGATGGACGAGATTGCCGTGGAGATCGCGCACATGTTCCGGATTTATCCCGAGATCGTGACCGCCGTCGAGATCGAAGAGGACCTGCTGGACGACGAGGACAGGGCAGAAGATAAGAATTTGCGTGGCAGTCCCGAGACTGGGCGCAGGCTTACTTGGGACGCGTACGGCGGGGGCGGGTATGGTGGTTCCTTCAGGGACAAGATCCGGATCACTGAGCAGAAAGCCATCGCGTACATCTCTTCTGCAGTCCGCGAGTTTAACAGGAGGAACACCAGACGCCACATGGACAAGTGGTTCGGAAGGAGGGCTTTCAACGACCCTTCTTCCCGCAACAGGGTGCAACAAGTGCTGAATTCCGTCAATCGCATGCTCAGCCATGTTGAGTATGTATACCCAGGCCCTCAGTGCTCCCCGAACACCTACGCCTACGTATACCCTGAGGCTTACACTTGCGGTTCCAGTGCTGAGTATAAGCGGGATGCCTGCACGAAGACCCGTGGGGGGAAGTTCGTTTTTTACATGTGCCAGCTGACGATGAGGTCGCCCATGTCCGTTCAGATCGAAACGCTCACACACGAGGGGTCGCACCACGCGACAGCGTACACTGACGATGTCTGCATGGACTACTCAAACCCGTGCCGGCAAACAGCATACGGCAGGTCCCCTTGCCAACAGTTAGCGTCGATGAACCCGACAAAGGCACTGAAGAACGCCGACAATTACTGCTACTACATCAACGACATCACGGATGTTGGTCGTTGAGCATGGTGGGAGTGACTTCAGAATCGAGTTCCGCCGCCTGTCTGAACATATTATCCGATGGTGATAACCCACGGATTGACCTCAGAGTGACGGTGAGATAGTTATCGCCATTTTCAGGCGATCGCTTTTTGCGTACCTCCGTTATCATCCTCCCCTTGCTGGTCGCCGACGCGATTTCACAGCGGCGAAGGTCGCTGGTAAACAGCACGTTGAAAGCTCTTGGAACAGAGCCTTCTCTTCCTCAGTCTCCTTCACAAAGATCGTTCCTTCAACAGATCGCGTGTTCGTGCAGATTGTACCTTCTCTTTCTCCTTTTCCTGCTCTTCCCCCGTCCTCCCCAGGCTGATATCCGAGAGAATCAGGAGTGGAGGCGAGCTACCAGTAGCGAGGGCCGCTGGTTTTTGTTTTAGCTGGTGCGAAATCATGTGCTACGTGGCCGTCAAGTGCGTCATCCTTATCAGCACGTCGTCTACATCTCTCTCTCTCTCTCTCTCTTTCCATCCTTCCATCCTCCGTAGCCATTTTGGCTCACGTCCGTGGCGTTTCGCTCAGGACTTGACACTGGCAGGAGGGATCCGCGGCCCTCACCGCTGCCGTGCGACCCACTTCGCCTGCCCTGGCTGGTGTCACAGCTTTCGCTCACTTCTACATTCCAGTTCGGGACCGTAAGTCCCGCGCGTGTCTTCTTCATCTCTACGTTGGGTGATGGCAAATGGTTCTCTTGCTGCCAACTCACGCAAAGCATGGGCTGGTCCCTGGTATTGCCGATGGCGCTTGCACCCCAAGTCGGGAGAGCGCTGGTGGAACGGGGACGACAAGAACACATGCATGCAGTGTCACACAGCGAAGGGCACATCGTTCGGTGGGTTCAAGTTCCCGAAGGTCCCAAGCACCCATGCCCTGCCCAGCGCTGAATGCCACCATTGGACATCAGTTGCGCGACTGCCCATTCTTAATTAACCCCCCTGACGATCTCGACATTGAGGCCTTCCCATATGACATCTTGGAGCACGGGGCGGTTTTAAGGGACGGGGGGTATCATAATCTGCCGGCCGATTGGGACACCCTCGAGCTGTCGTATGGGCCCCCTTTTTATCCTCTGAGTATCCCCATAGCGCCCGAGTCCCCTGCGTGGGGTGCAGCCCACCAAGGGTGGGGGCGGCGCGTCTATACCGACGGTTCGGGACTGGCCAGCGCCAGTCCCAAATTCAGACGGTGTGGATGGTCTGTCGTGGAGGTCGGCCCCAGCGGGGTCCTTGCGCGGGCCCTCTTCGGGCCCCTCCCTGGACGCCAGACGATGCCCTGTGCTGAGCGTCTCGCGGGTATGTGGGCGATCAAGGTTGCACCCCCCTGGCGCCGGGGTGTGCAGTGATCACGTTTCCTTGTCAAGGGTGCTCGTCGCTTGAGGGGCCCAGTCTCCCCATGCCGACATTTGGCGTGCGAGTTTTGCGCGCGCGCGGAGGGCCGACCCAGGCCCAGGTTCCAGCGGGTCCACTTGGCTCAGCGCGAGCTTGGGCATTTTTCCCCGACCTGGCGGCGGGGTTCCCGTTTAGTGTTCCCCCGGGGGGGGTCTGGGGGGGAGCCCCCGGGACGTGGCCCCAGCCACGGGCGGCACGCCGTCGGAAGACGGCCGCTCACGGCCCCCCTATTCGCAAGACGCGCTTCTGGGTGGCTCGGACGGCCCCAAGATGGTCCACGAGATGGTTCAAGAAGGCCTCGCGTGGCCCAAATCGGAGGGCACCAACTATACACCAGCACCGATCCTGGCCCAGGATCACCCTGGGCCCAGGATCGGTGTATATGCCTTCTTGCGCAAGGCAGGAGGGCGTATACACCGATCCTGGGCCCAGGGTGATCCTGGCCAGGATCGGTGTTGGTGTATTAGTTGGTGCCTTCCTACGAAAGACCGGCCCAAGACGCCCAATATGGCGCCCCGACGTCCCAAGAAGCCCAAAAGACACCCCGAGAGGCCCCCGAGAGGCTTTCCAGGAGAACCCGAAACATAACACATCTTTGGTTGTCCTTTGGTTTGAAGGGTTTTGTTTGTTTTCGTATTTTCGGCTTCCCGCCGCTCCAAGACGGCCCAAGAGATCCCAAGTAATGCCCCAAGACAGCCTCAGAGACCCCCAACAGAGCGCTCAGACGGATCAAGACGTCCTCAAGACGACCCAAGAGGCCTCCAAGACGGCCTCACAAGTGTTCCAGGCACGCCCCAAGAGAGCCCCCAGAGTGGAGGCAGGGGCCGAGTTTTCGGGTTCTCCGCCCCAATGACCCCTCCAGAAGCCCGCAGAGACGCCCAGTGTGGCGTCCCGACGTCCCAAGAAGCCCAGAAGACACCCCGAGAGGCCCCCAAGAGGCTTTCCAGGAGAACCCGAAACATAACACATCTTTGGTTGTCCTTTGGTTTTTGATGTTTTTTTTTTTTTGTTTTCGCCTGTTCGGCTTCCCACCGCTCCAAGACGGCCCAAGATGCCCCAAATAACGCCCCAAGACAGCCTCAGAGACCCCCAAGAGAGCGCTCAGACGGCTCAAGACGTCCTCAAGACGACCGAAGAGGCTTCCAAGACGGCCTCACAAGTGTTCCAGGCACGCCCCAAGAGAGCCCCTGGAGCGGAGGCAGGGGCCGATTTTCCGGGGTCTCTGCCCCAATGACCCCTACAGAAGCCCCCAGAGACGCCAAATATGGCGTCCCGACGTCCAGGGAGCCCAAACGACGCCTCGAGAGGCCCCCAAGACGCTTCCCAGGAGAGCCCGAAACGTAACAAATCATCGGTTGTCCTCAGGTTTTTGAAAGATTTCGCATGTTCGGCTTCCCACCGCTCCAAGACGGCCCAAGATGCCCCAAAGAACGCCCCAAGAGAGCCTCAGAGACCCCCAAGAGAGCGCTCAGACGGCTCAAGACGTCCTCAAGACGGCACAAGAGGCCTCCACGACGGCCTCCCAAGCGCCACAGGCACGCCCCAAGAGAGTCCAAGAGAGCCCTTGGAGCGGAGGCAGGGACAGATTTTCCGGGTTCTCTGCCCCAATGACCCCTCCTGAGGCCCCCAGAGGTTCCCAAGAAGCCCCCAAGAGGCCCCAATAACCCCTGCAGAGGACCCAAGAGGCCCCCAAGAACATGGTCCAGCCCATTTCCCTCAGGACATCCTCGCATCTCTGGGCGCAGAGATACTCTCACCTAGCATGGTCTGGCCCTCGTTGCCTGAGACATCCTCGCTACTCTTGGCATCGGAGATGCCAGGCGAGAGGTGGTCTGGTCGACATAGTCGGAACACTGTGTGCATAGATGCCCTTATTTGAGGTCTGTTTCGCTTCGAGACACCCTCTCAACTCAGGGTTCGGAGATGCCGCGCGAGAGGTGGTCTGGCCAGTTTCGCCTGAGATATCCCGCAGCTTTGGGTTCAGAGATGCCGTGCGCGAGGCGATTCGGCTAGTTTCGGCTAAGACATCCTCGCAACCTTGGGCTTCGAGTTGCCGTGCGCGAGGTGGTCCAGCCAGATCCGCGTAGTTCTGGGCTCAGAGATGCTCCGACCTGGGTTGACCTGGCCCGCTCCACCCGAGACACCCCCGCAACTCCGCACGCGAGGGGTCATCTGCACAGCTGTGCCCGAAACGTCATCGCCATGCCATGCTCAGAGATGCCGTGCTCCAGGGTGGCCTGGCCAGCGTCGCTGGGGACCTCCTCGCAGCTCCGGGCCTTGAGGTGCTGCTCGCGCGCGAGGTGGTCTGCCCCGTGTTGCCCGCGCCAGCTGCGCAACTCGGGGCTCAGAGCTGCCCGGACCTGCGGCGGTCTGGCCCGTCTCGCCCGCGACGCCCCCGCAAGTCCGGGCATCACATCGGGTGGCTCAAGCACTCCGCCGCCGCCCGGCAGAGAGGCGGGGACGCTGGCACGGACGGGGAGGGCACTGTCTGGCAAGGCGGCGATTCGAGGCCCCTCGCAGTTGTCAACTCAGGAGGTCCCTCGAATCCCGGTGCGGGGGTCCGCTTGCGCTCTGGGCAGCAAGTCGGGGCCTCGAAGCGATGTAGCCATGAGTCACCAGGCGCATGACGGTATCCCCCTCCACTCTGGTCCAGCTCCCGAGCAGGCCAGCCCACAGCCCCCAGAACCATCCAGGGCTACGTCTTTGCAAGGCGGACCCTTCTCGGGTCCTGCGAAGTACGGCGGGGGCACCCGCTCGCTCGGCAAGGCGGACCCTCCCCTTGCAGGCCCCTCGAGGCAGGCTCTCGGCGGCACGTCGGGGCCCCGATGCCCTGTCGAGCGGCAGGCCACCCGGCGGGCGCTGGCTCGAGAGCGTGGCCGTGAACAGGCCAAGGGGGCTGTGCTGGACCTCGGGGGCCGCCCGGAGACCCGGCGGCTGGCCCGAGTCGAAGACCCGGGGGGCTGTTCTGCCGTCCTCGCCCTCGCTGGGGCGCTTCTCGTCGCCACGGCAGGGCCCCCTGCAGACTTCTGCCCCGAGCCTCGCGTGCGGTGCGGCCGGGCGCCTCAGTTCCGCTCGCGCGCACGCCACCCGAGGCAGCTCGGTGGCCTCGCGTCTGCGTCGCCGAGTTTGGGTCCTCGCTGTCGTGCTGCTGTGCCCCGTCCCCCTCCTGCCCTCCAAGATCGTGAGGAGCATTGCTGTGTGTATCCTCTTGTTCCTCGTGCTCGTTTCCTTCGGGGCCGTGTCATGGGTCATCTGAGCTTGTCTAGTCCTGCTGGTGTCAGCCCATGCTGACGTTGAAAAAAACGAGGAAACAAAATCAACAGCAACAGAAAGCAACCACAACAGAAGGACGTCTGCACCAAGCGCATCCCCGAGATGGGCCTCGGGGATGTTTTGTTTTTGCGTGGGGCGGGCTCAGACCACCTCCGACGCCGTGCGCGCCTGCTGTGTTTGGATCCTGGCGCACGTTTCGCAGCCTCGGCGCCGGGGGGCCATCGGTTTTTGGACGTGGCAGTATCAAGGTTCAGGCGATCGCAGACATGGATCAAGGGGGCGTGGATCAGCGACGGGTCCCGTTTTCACGGGAAGTCGCGGATTTCCGCCGCCGAACGAGGCGACACCGACCGCATTTTGGGGCGCCAAATCCATGGATCGCTAATTCATGTTTGCGCGCCTCCGAAAGGCGCAAAAAACCGTTATTGCGCTGAGACTTGTTTCGCCTCTGGGGCTCGTCACTCTGCTAATGAGCCGCATATGGCAGCAGTGCGCGAGCGATCTACGACCAAGATGCGGTGGCAGTAGAATCTGGCTCCCCGTGTCCTTGTGACACCCTGCCCGCCCAACGCCAAGTCAAGGGGGAGAGCCTCAGAGATCTGCTGGGTTGCATGCGGTGTATCTGGTCTTCGGCCCAGGGGCCATTGGAAGACGACCCCCGATGGAGCACCGGCCTCGGGGACGGAGTCGAGACGTCCGGGGGGCCCGACGGATTGAGAAGGATCGACGGCAGGAGGTTTGGCAAGCATCCGAGCTGATCCCTCCTCCCCCATGGCCATGCTGGCTCGAGCGCAAAACTAAAAATCGCATAATCTGAAAACAAATAAAGAGCGTGCACGGCGAAGCACGCGTGTAGGCCAAGTTCACGTAACAAGCATGGCGGCCACTGGTGCCGTGCCTCAGTTCGCTTCCCTCTACGTCGGTGACTTGCATGCCGATGTGACGGAGGCGATGCTCTACGAGATATTCAATTCCGTGGGACCTGTGGCGTCGATCCGCGTCTGCCGCGACAGCGTGACCCGCAAGTCCCTCGGATACGCGTACGTCAACTTCCATGGCGTTGCGGACGCCGAGAGGGCGCTCGACACGCTGAACTACTCGAGCATCAAGGGCCGTTCGTGCCGCATCATGTGGACTCAGCGCGACCCGAGCATGCGCAAGAGCGGCGCTGGAAACATCTACGTGAAGAATTTGGACAAGAACATCGACAACAAGGCCTTGTACGACACCTTCAGTCTCTTCGGCAACATCCTGTCCTGTAAGGTGGCGTCCGACATGTCGGGGAAGTCCCACGGCTACGGGTTCGTGCACTACGAGACGGAGGAGGCTGCCAAGCAGGCCATCGAACGCGTGAACGGCATGCAGATCGGCGAGAAGACTGTGGAGGTCTCCTCCTTCGAGAAGCGCAGCGACCGCGTGAAGCCAGAAGTCACCAACTTCACGAACGTGTACTGCAAGAACATGCCTGGCGACTGGGACGAGGAGAAGATCAATGAAGTGTTCGGTAAGCACGGCACCATCACCTCCATGTGCATCCGCGAGGACAAAAAGGGACGCAAGATGGCGTTCGTAAATTTCGAAACCACCGAGTCCGCTCAGGCTGCGGTGGCTGAGCTGCATGGGAAGGAGGTTCGCAGCGAGGAGCAAATCGCGAAGCTGAAGGAGGAGTTGAAGGAGGAGTTCAAGGAGGATGTGGGCAAGCTCTTCGTCCAGCGTGCTCAGACCAAGCTCGAGCGCTCGGCCGAGCTCCGCGACAAGTTCCCCGCTACGTCGCGCCCAGACAGCAAACCGCAGGGCGTGAACCTGTACGTCAAGAACCTCGACGAGGGCACGGACGAGGCCTCCCTGCGTGCCCTCTTCGAGTCCTTCGGCCAGATCACCTCCGTCGCGGCGCCAGTCGACGACAAGGGCAAGTGCAAGGGTTTCGGCTTCGTCTGCTTCCAGTCGCCGGACGAGGCGACCAAGGCCGTCACGGAGATGCACCTGAAGGTCGTGAAGGGAAAGCCCCTCTACGTTGGTCTGGCCGAGAAACGCGAGGCACGCCAGGAGCGCCTGCGACAGCGCTACTCACCCGGCGCGGGCGGCGACAAGGGCGGAGCCAAGGGCTGCGGCAAGGGCTTCGGCGGCGGCTGCAAGGGCAGCCCGGGCGGGGGCATGGGGATGCAGGGCGGCATGGGCGGCGGCATGGGGATGATGGGCAAGGGCGGGCAGCAGATGGGCATGGGCATGGGCATGGGTGGCATGGGGATGATGGGCAAGGGCGGGCAGCAGATGATGGGCATGCCGCAGATGGGCATGATGGGGATGATGCCGCAGCAGATGCAGCAGGCCCAGGCGATGATGATGGCCGGCAAGGGTATGACGGGCCCCATGGGAGTCCGCGGTCCGATGCCGGGCGGCATGCAGCCGATGATGGGCATGCCGCAGATGGGCATGATGCGCCCGGGCATGGGCATGATGCCGGGCATGATGCCCGGCGGAATGCGTCCGGGTATGATGCCGCAGCAGATGCCGCGCCCCGCTGCGGCGCCTTCGCAGGCTCAGCAGGGTGCAGGGGCCCCGCTCTCCGCATCTGCACTCGCCGCCGCGCCGCCCTCCGTACAGAAGCAGATGATCGGCGAGAAGCTGTTCCCCATGATCGCCAAGTACCAGCCCGAGCTTGCGGGGAAGATCACGGGCATGATGCTCGAGATGGACAACAGCGAGCTCCTGATCCTCCTGGAGTCCGAGCAGCAGATGAAGGGCAAGGTCGACGAGGCCATGCGCGTGCTGGGCGCCAGCGCAAAGTAGGGCCGCGCGTCCCTCCTACTGGGCTTCCTTACATAACTGCGACGTCGCGAAAAAAACGCCACGTGAGACGCCGTGTAAGACCCAACGTCGTGAGACGACGTCCACCCTCCTCACTGTCCCCCCTCCTCCGCAGATCCTTCGAGGTACATTGGGGGCATTCGCTTGCATGTTTGATAGCATTTTGTGACCTCGAAGCCTTGCGAATATTCAAGTTGCCAGGCGAGTCGACGTCTCGCCTCCTTCTCCTCGTCCTCCCCCAGAACTCGATGACCAGGACTCTCCATAGACCATAGATGCTCTTTGATAAGACTCTGAGCCCGCCGAACGGGAACCACAGCAGGTCCCACTTCGGGAGACTTGCCCGCCAGTGTTGTATCCTTTGGGTCCAGGGAGACTCTTGGGAGCCATCTTGGTTCCTCTTGGGGATACCTTTGGTGCCTCTTTGGGGCCTTCTTGAGCCCAACTCTTGGGGGTTCTGGAGGCCTCCTGGAGCCATTTTGGGGCTCCTCGTGGGGCCGTCTTTGGGGCATCACGGGCCTCTCTTGGGAGCCGTTTGGGGCCGTCCAGGCCGTGTTGTCGACTTCTTGGGTACATCTTGGGGGTCTCTTTGAGCCTTCTTGGGCCGTCTTGGACGCCCTGGAGTCCGAAGAGTCGACATCCGTAAATTCATATAGCACCTTCATGTTTTTCAATGGTTTGGGTCCTGGAGACACCTCCTGGGCGTCCTCTTAAAGCCCTCTTGGGCCGTCTTGGGGCCTCTCGGGCCGTCTTGAGGCAGTCTCGGGTCGTCTTGGGGCCATCTTGGACCGTCGTGCGCCGTCTTGAGGCTTTCCTTGGCCGCCTTGAGGGCACCTTGGGCTGTATTTAATGCATCTTTGAGGCGAGAAGGGGGCTCACAACACAGCCAAGCTCTTATGGACCCGCGAGCCCCCCCCATCCTCAACCAGCCTCACCCCAACTTGCTAATACTATGTGTGCGCCGCCCCCCCCCCCCCAGGGGCGACGCGCGCGCCGAGAACTCCTATAGTATAAGCTCCGTGGCGGGCGCTTTCTGGCCATACCGCTCGGGACACGATATACTACTAGATGGTCATACAGCATGTTCGGGTCGGACGCGCGCCTCCGAGCTAGTATGTCCTTGTGCGTTCCACTCAAAGTGAGCTAGCGAATCAGCCAGCCAGCCAAACCCCAGATTCTGACACGGCCCCGGGCCGCAGAGGGCCCGTCATGTTCTTGACGCTTCGCGTCTCCCCGCCAGGGTTTCGTACCTCGCAGCCTGCCAACGCTCATGCTCTCACCGGGCACCAATTCGACTTCCGACAGTCGGTCCACTTGGCTGCGGCCACCCTGGTCCTTTCGCAGTAGTCTGGGGGTTTGCGCCCTTGCATCGAATTACTCATCTGTCCCTGGTCGGCTGTCTTCCCGACTACCTGACGCCCCCGACGCGTTGCGTAAATGCACGCTGGCAGTACTACTCAGCTTCAGCCAGCCCCCTCCACTCGCCAGTCCGCCGCTGAGGTGCTGCGTGAGGCTCCGCACCGCCACTTTAGGTGAGGCTGCGCCCCGTCGGTTTAGGTTAATTCGTCGCTGCGTGCCCCGCTTTGACTGGACCCGCCGCTGGCGCGCTCGCCTGCGGCCGCTGACTAAAGTATCCCCGCCGGGGCTGCAGGCTGGTCTGGCCCCCCTGCGCCGGCACTACGGTCGTCTGCTGCGGCTTCCACCCGAGCTCGGTCGACCAGTACGGGCCTCGACGCTCGCTGAGGGCCACTCCGTCGTCGAGTTCGCACAAGCTTGCTGGTGCCCCCCAGCACGGGTCCTGCGCTGTCGGTGGCTGGCGTCCACCCAACATGCGGGTGACGGCGGGCAGCGCCCCTGTCTTGCCGGGCGCTTGCCTCTTCGCTACGAGCATGGCGAGTCTCTGCACCACGGCTGTCTGACTCTTCATCCTGGGTCTGACTCTCAATTCATTCACCATTTTGGTGTGCATCGTGGACTTTTTGGTCCTTATCGGCCTGGCGGACTTCTGGGGTTTCACCGGCTCCGCCGCCTGGGCCCCGCGTAGCGCGCCCCGGTCGTTGTGGCTCTTCCTTAGGCCGTAAGTTAGATCGTTGCGTTGTTGCTTCGTTTCTTGACTGCGCGCAGTTGCCCTGTGTAGCTTGCGAGCACAAAGTATCCCCGCTGGCCCAGCCAGAAACGGTCGCCTGGCGGGCTGCCTTGATCAGGGAGGTGTAGGGGCATGCAGTTGGAACAGCAGGTGAGGTAGCCATCAGGCCGAGGTTCGGAATCAGCCCGAGCACATCCAGGAGCGGAGCTGCTGAGGCTGCCGCCAAAAAAGGAGGAGGCGAATGACAAATGGAGGAGGGGGAGGAAGAGGAGGAGGAGGAGGAGGAGGAGGAGGAGGAGGAGGAGGAGGAGGAGGAGGAGGGATGAGGGTCCAGTATGACGTTGGAGGAGGAGGGGGAAACTGAGGAGGGGGATGTTGGAGACCAGTGGCGACCCTGACGACGACGCAATGATCGGAATGGACAAACGGATGGCGGCAAGGAGTGTGAGGATTGGGTTGACCAAGCGGGTGGACATAAGTATGACGAGGAGGATCAGGAGGAAGAGGAGAAGAAAGAGGAAAAGGATGATGAGGAAAAGAAACAGGACGGGGACAAATAAGAGGCGGAGGATGAGGAGGAGGAAGAGGAGCACGCCAACGCGCCCTGGCCACCACGAAAACAGTTGCAGGCAGGCGCTCTTCCGTCTTCACGTTTTTTAAAGACTGTAGTTCGGAGGGGTCACTTCTCAGGTGTTGATGACCCTGCGAAACTTACAGTGGGCCATGGCCCCTGGGGCCCTTGTGGCACGGATGAGTTACATGATCTTAAACACGAACCAGTGGCCGCGCCAATATTGTCATAGGGGGGGGGGGCCAAAGCACCTCTTCAGATTGCCTCAAGAGGGCCCTCTTGGCTCGGGAATGCTGCCAACTTCTTTGCGCAGAATATCAGAGCCTCTGCGTATCCTCTTTGGGCCACCTGGTAGGACACCGAGAACACAGAGAGCGACGCTGGTGAGCCCTGCCCTTCCAGGTCGCAACACATTCAAACTTGGAGCCATCTTTGGGCGCTCCTGGTTCGTTCTTGGAAGCCCTCGGGGCCGTATTGGAGCAATTCTTGGCCTTTCTTCTCTCTTTGGGGCTCTCCCGGGCGATCTTGAAGCCACGTCGATGCTCTGGAGGCATGTAGTAAACGAGGCGGCCCCGGGATGGTCTGAATTGGGTGGAATGAGCGGTGATCCAGTACACTGCAGTAAGGAAAGGTGCGCCGCCTGATGCGCGCGACGCGATGCAAGCCATGCAGCGCAAACTATGCGGTGCAAAGATGTGCTTGCCAATTCGTGAGTTGTCAGCTCCAATCCTCGCGCCATCATCCCACTCCCCCCACCCGCAACTTGATTTGCAAAGCCCATGCGGCCGCGATTGTGATGACCGTCTGGCGCGGGCTGGCGCATGTCTGCAGCCGCGCTGGCGCGCGCGCCCCCGTTCGCAGAGCAAACAGCTGGTTCGGCACAACTGGTGCGGCCGCGATGGCGCTCACCGCTGGCAACCTCCCAGCGCGTCTCAAAGGCCGCGCTGGCGCGCGTGCATAGCAGTCCTGGTCCGTGATTCGGTCGGGCGCGGCATAGGGATGACGTTGACACCGGCGGGAACGATGGTGATATTAGCGATAGGGGTGGCGATGGTAACGATGACGGCGGCGAGGCCAACGGCGGCGCCGATGCTGGCGACCACGCTGACGATTATGAAGTCCATTTGTCGGTGACGAAGGTGCTTGGTTGATGATGGGGGATATGGCGGCGGTTGCCTAGGGCGATGACGTGGCGCGGCGGCGCCGATGCGGGAGGTGGCCAAGAATCGTGGGCGCGCGGGGATAACAAAATCCTTGGTTGTGCTCAGTGTTGTTGCGCGCGTGTTTGAAGGGTTAAGTTGTGCAGTGCTTCGAAAGCCACCGGTTTTGGGCGGCTTTGGTCGCGCGCGCTTGGCGGCTCGCGTGTGTGAGCCGCAAGGTGTTGTTTGATCCGGTTTCGTGCACTGGTAGCGTGCTAGATCAACTTGACGCACCGCATTGCGAGGTGAGAATGCGGTATCTGGGCGAGATGATTGAATCATGACTTGTGTTCCTCACTATCCTGTGCTGTTGGGTCCTCATTTTCAAGAGACCGCGCCACGCTTCCTTTCCACTCTTCTCCCCGTCCTCCCCGTCCTCCCTCCTCCATCATCCTTTTCTCTCCTCTCCTCTCGTCTCCTCTCGTTTCTTCTCCTCCCCCTTGTCCCTCCCCATCATCATCATCATCATCATCATCATCATCATCATCATCATCATCATCATCCGTAGCCATTTTGGCTCAAGGTGGCGCGATCAGGGCAGATGTCTGGTCTCATGAGGCTGGCTCTAGCCGTCGCGTCCATTCTTGGGTCAGATTCCCAATCTTCCAAGCTTTCAGTGTGGCCCTTGGGGCCACAGTTCTTTCCATATTACATCACCGACACCCGGCCCCAGTCGCCCGATTGGGAGCCCAGCCGCGGCGGGCTCGACCAATGGCAGGACGAGGAGGTGGTGCTCGAGGAGCCGCGCGCGGCGGCGGCGGCGGCAGAGCCAGTAGTGGCCGTGGACAGCGGGGCGGCCAAGCTCCAGGCGCGGGCGGCAGCGGTGCAGCGCCCAGGGTCTGGGACTGCCCTCAGTGCGGAGCCAAGAAGAATTGGGGCTCTCGGCATGTCTGCAGGAGTTGCGGCTACGACTGGTGGGAAAGCGGTTCTGGCACGAGTTCTTGGTGGAGTGGCATGTCACAACTGGACGCCAGAGAACGCCACGAGCTCAACCAGTTGCGGAGGAAGGTCAAAAAGTTGGAGACCAGCAGCCAAGCAGGACCAGGAGTCGATGGCGGTGGCGCTGGGGCGGCAGGCGTTGGGTCGCAGCCTGACGACAAGTCAGAACGTGTCCGCCGATTGGGCAAGTTACGAAGTGAGATCAAGAAGATCGAGGGCGTGGACGGCGCGGAGGCCATTCTCGAATCCAAACGGCAGGAGGCGCAGCAGTTGGAAAACGAGCTGGCAGCAACCAAGCCTACATCAGTCCAGCTCAGTGA